GCACCATCTGCTTTCTTCCCCACTTTTGCTAATGCACCCCCTATGTCCTCAGCGATCGAGTAGGGGTAGGCTGGTGTGCTTCTTCCGTGTGGGTTTTGTTGTCTCTCAGCTAGATGGTGCTTGTTTATCTTCAGGTCTTTAAGGCTACCAAAAGATATAGCACCTGAAGCCTTAAAGACCAGTAGATTTTATTTGTGTGTGTTCCTATTCTTTTGTTTCTCCAGCCTCTTTATCGATGTTGAATTATTTAATACTTAAAATATCTAAGTATTTAAAAATAATTAATGCACTTGAATTATTCTTTTCCAACACAATAATTCAAGTGCATTGATTATTTTTATAAATAAAATATTAAAAGTTCGTGGATTAAAAAATAATTATGTTAGCAAAGAATATAGAATTGGACTTGTAGAACTAACAAGAGTGCCTTCGAATACGTTCAATGAGAATGCTTCTTCAAAGGGATGAGGGTGAGACTGTTTTATGAACTTTGGACATGTCAGGTGGACCAGTTCCTGGAGAAGGACATCATGCTTAGTAAAGTAGAGCATCAGTGAAAAAGAGGAAGACTTTCATTGACACAGTGGCTGCAACAATGGGTTCAAAAATATCAATGGCTGGGAAAATAGTCCAGGACTGAGCAGTGTTTTGTGTTGTTGTACCTAGAGTTTCTATGAGTCCCTACTGACTTGATGGTACATAACAACATCTTTCTTTATTTGCAAATGGGATGTTTATATTAATTTTTTTATTTGCAAGTAAGTGGACAGTGTGTGAACTTAAAACTATTTTAGGAACCCTTATTCTATGTTTTAATTTATTTACTATTTATCATTTGTTAATTTTGTTTTAGAGATACTGTGTTAGCACAGGGAGGCCTGGTGACCTAGTGATTACTTGGGCTACTAAGTGCAAGGTCAGCAGTTCAAAACCATTAGCTGGTCCGAGGGAGAAAGATCAAGCTTTCTACTCACATAAAGAGTTGCACTCTTGGAAATCCTCAGGGGCAGTTCTCCTTTGTCCTATAGGGCTACTATGAGTAGCTGTCAGCTGGATGGCAGTGAGTTTAGTTTGGTTTGGTGTTAGCACAAACAATAATCATTTTTGTGAACAGAAGATACTGGCTCCCACTAGCTGTGACCTTGATTCTTCACAATAGACTTTCTAACTATAGTGGATAGATTGGGGTGAGGCACTTGTAAAGAGTGTAGGGTGGCATATAACCTCCTCTGATTTCACAAGTGGGGAAGTGGAGAATAAAGACCACCAAGGCTGATTCCTATGAGGTGGAAATCAGTCATGCCTCTATTATTCAACCTTTTTACCGATTCTTACAGCAATTGCTGATACCAACCATCCCTCATGTAGTTCTCTGTCCTTACCTGCTGGATTTGATAAATTATTGCAGTGGCCACACAGAATTTGCTGACAGTTCTCACAATTGTGGAATTTAGTAGGGAAGTAGTAGGCTATAATTCAGGTTCATGGACAATACAGGATATAGTTTTTCCATACAAGATAGAGTTATTTGATCAAGACAGCCTCTGCCAACCCAGACACACCTCTCTGGCCCTTGGGCCCCCAGTCCCTTGGCTTTGCCCCTACTTTGCTTTAGCAAGTGCTACAAAGCTCTCTGGCTCTGCTGATTGTACCTAGAGGTACTTCACTCTATTTTTTTTTTTTTTCCCCCTCACAGGCGACTTCACTCTATTTTTAAGCTTCAGGTACTTAAGCTTTTAAGTGGGAACCCTGGTGGTACAGTAGGTTAAGTATTGAACTACTAACCACTTGGTCAGTGGTTTAAACCAACCACTTTATGGGAAAAAGATAAGACATTTTCCTTCAATACAGATAGCATTGCTGTGTGTTAGAATTGACTTGATGGCATTCTTTTTTGTTGTTGTTGATGGCATTCTTTTTTTATTTCACCCAATCATTTCATGATAGTTGCAAAACTGTCTAATTAGAAGGGTGGTTGTTCTTGTTGTTAGGTGCCATCCAGTTGGCTCTGACCTATAGCGACCCTGTGTGCAATAGTGTGAAACATAGCACTATCCTGGGCCATCACCACAATTGCTTCTATATTTATGCCCAGTGATGCAGCCCCTGTGTCAGTGTATCTCATTGAGGGTGTTCCTCTTTTTTGCTGCCCTTCCACTTTACCGAACATGATGTCCTTCTTCAGGGACTGGTTTCTCCAGACAATATGTCCAAAGTATGTAAGATGAAGTCTTGCTGTCCTTGCCTCTATGGCAGTGGTTCTCAACCTTCCTAATGTTGTGGCCCTTTAATACAGTTCCTCAAGCTGATGGAGCCCGGCTATCAAAAGATATAG